GCAAACGAGCAAGCGGCCACCAAATACCGCCGAACTAGCGAAGCGACTGCTGCCCATAGACATCCGCAATTGCAGATGTGTAGCCTACCTTTAATCGATGGAGGAGACGCACATAAAGAGAATTTCCCTTCCTATGCGTCTCCACCGTCAAATCGACTTTTCCTTCCCATCCTTTGCTAATAAGAAAAAGGGTGTGAAGAAAAGGGACTAAAGTTGGGCCTCCGGCACCACACTCATCAGACTGTACGCGGAATTTCTCCCACTTCACATCTGTGTTCTGTGTGGTCGTGGTATTGGTGGGGCGAGCCGGCCCTACAGAACATGTTAAAGCGGGCTCTACCACTGTAGAAATTATTTATAGTTTGTTTTTATACGTTTTTTAGGAATCTCAACAAATCTTTTCTTCGTGTCGCTGGTGTTTATTCTGAGCTGGTATCATCTGCAGGAAGGTTTGCCCGAATTTATTAAGGTAATTTCGAATTATTTATTACTAACTTGCTCGCGACTTCAGCCGAGTGGAATTAAAAAAAATCAGAAGCCTATTTCAGTCCGTGATAACGTAGCTTTTTAATATTGAATTTTAAATTGGCCCACTAGTTTTTGAATTTTTTAATGCAAAAATACAAATCTTTCCTCTTTATAAAAATACTAGCTTTCACTCGCGACTCCGTCCGCGTGGTATAAAAAAAAAAACAAAAGTAAGTTGTCTATGTGCCATTCCAGACTATCCTCTACATCTATACCAAATTTCATCGAAATCCGTTCAGCCGTTTAGGCTACAAACTGTAAAAATCATCCATCTAAACTTTCGCATTTATAATATTATTATGATTTGAAAATACCCATTAAATTGATAATCTAAAATGGTGCCATCGATCAGCAAACTGTTATTATAATTGTTGGAAAAAAATTGTATTGTGCTTTTTAAATTAAATAAACACAAATACGAAGGTTTAAATTTTTGTAATTATTCCAGAGCAAATTCGGCGATAAAGAAGTGAAAAAAGAAGAATCCATTAGCAAAATTAAGCTGGAACAAGAGAGTAAAGGTATGAATTCAAAAACTTAACTCTCACTCAGAGTCGTGGATGTCACTAAGGGAGACCCTTAGTATAGATTTTTGATATAGAATGAGACTTTTTTTAATAATTATCAAGTTCATTAATATTGTGTTGTTTTGCAGATTTCCCTTTCTTTGACGACGATGCGTTGCGGCAAGAATTCCAGAAATTGGAACAGAAGAAAACTTAGAAGACTGAAATTTTATACATTAGAATATTAAAATATTTAACTCAAGTCTCTTAATTGTTGATATTTTCGTTAAAAAATATTTTCCCATCCATTCTCTTAGAATTACCAAATAGAATGTTTTTAGATAACATTCACATGTCAAACTATCAATTTAAAAATATATTTTCATTTATCAGAAAAAAGCAAACAAGCATTAGGTTTCTTTACCTAAGCCAGAGGAGGGGACGCACAGAAACAGGTAATTTACCCTTCCTATGCATCCTCTGCGAAATGTTATTCAGCACCACTTTTGTGTTTTAAGATTTAACCAATAAAATAAAATTGGGTATAATTTGACGTTTTATTTCTTTTTAATAATGTTTTCCAAAATATATGACTCTTTGTTGTTTTTGCATAAATAAAACAAATTTCCAATAAATTCCGATATTTATTAAGATAAAGGATTATTTTATACATTGTTTACATATGATATGTACAGATTAAAATTCCAAATATAATTGTATACAGATTATATAAAGCGAGATTTTTTTTTAATCTACCTAATTTCAATTACAAAGGCATAGAGGGCAGTATGCGTTGGTATTGTGCGATTTATTTTATACACTATGTGAGAACTTTTTAGGGTATAATAAAATTACATTTAAAAAATCAAAATAGTTATAGATCAAAAAAGTGCTCAAAAACATGATTTTTTTTGTGTATGATTTAAACAGATTTTACTAACCTAAAACAATAAGTGAAATATTTTAAAACTAAGCAATATTATACATAATATTAATTAAGAAAACATATACAAAATATAACAAATCTTCGATTATTTTGTTTGTGGTCCAGCCAACAATAAATATAAAAAATCGATTCAAGTTCGTTGCATATTTTACTAGTTTAAATTAATATGTGCTGAGGAATATTTTCTTTATACATTCCCGACGTTGTTTTAATACAAATGATACCTTTTTCCAATAAAAAGATTTTTTTTCTAATAATATCTTCGCGAAAAAAATGTGATAACCTTTTTATAAGTCGGATATGTATTAAATTTATTATTACAACATAAATATGTTTTTAAATAATACTTAGTAAGAAATTAAAAACAATGTAACAAAAAATATAGAAAGTGAAAACTTACTCAAAATTCTTTGTTACTCAAAGTGTCAAATAACATCTTTCTTTGTCGCACGTTATCCTAATGTATACATTTGTCTCGTTCACACATTAATATTTCGGATAACTATTTTGTGACGTTTGCAATATTTGATATCGTAAAATTATTTAAAAAAAAAACTACAATTATTTTTTTATATTAATATTGTAACTTTGAGTACATTTATTATTAATAAAGTTTAAAATCATAGATTTTACATAGTACAGATATATTTTTAAATTCAATTTTGTTGAACCAACCTTTAATTTTATTTGTTAAAGATCATATTGACTGGCAATAATTTTTCTCGTTGCTTTTAAAACTAAAAGGAATTATCAAACTAAATTTTAACCGCGAAAATTCACTGCCCAATTACTTATATCAGGGTAAAAATCGATCTGAAATCAAATTGTTTTTTTTTTCATTCAGGATTATTCAATTATTATTATTTGAAGTTTTTATAAGTGTTTAGACAATGGAAACCCAAAGTAATATTAATCAATTACTAAAAAAAGCTGCAAAATATAAAATTAAGTAAAATAGTGTCTTTTATTTTGTAAATATGAATGAAATCTTAACATAGTTTCGCTGATTCTAACGGAATGACATGTGCGTTATATTTTAAAAATATACTAAAACTGTTGAAAATCGATAATTTCCTTTTTCTACATTATAATAATTCCCTTGTGTATAATTTTTATAATTCGATAATATTTCTAAGAATTGCTTTCTTAATGTACTAATATTTATAATACAACTAAATAAAACTAGGTTTCTAATGTCAACCCAACCTTCACCGTATAAAGATTGTTGTCAGCTTCAAAAAATAAATTCAATTCTAATATAACTGGCAACTATATTGATTTTACTTTCGAAATAAGCAACGACAAAATAAACACAATTAATACTTTTTTCAAAAAAAGGCGGATTAATTAGAAACAAGAGAAACACCGTATTTTGTAAAAAAAAAAACCTTGAATTTTTTAATACTGTTAAAGGTATTATTGTTTTCGTATTTTTAGCACCTTTTATCGCCTTCAAAATATTTAAAATATTGGCACATTTGAACGGTTGGTGTAATTTTTGAGCGGATTATGATAGAATTTTTACGACATAAAAATGAAAATTACTTGAAGTTGATTTTCAATCTTTGGCATTCATCAATTCATTTTTAAATTAAAACTATTTACATAACCAATATTTGTTTACACAACAATTGTTTTCAAAAAACCTGTTACTTTTTCAAAAAAAGCACGAAAAAAAATCCATGGCTCCTACTTAGACTATCGTAAACCACAATTTTGAAATTTTGAGTTTGAAAATTAACTTAATAAGTATTTATTAATTACAATGTAAATGTATATCTTTAGAAAGAACTGTAAATTTCGGTTATTTATTTATGTTTGATAAGTTATTATTAGTACATACGATAGTTTGCGCAGGAGCTATCGAAAT